TTCCTCCCATAGATCATGCTGGGAGGGAACACACTACAGAGGTGTATACACGTTCGTGGTGTGTTTAAAAGGTTAGTAAATCAACCCCTATGTATCCTTACCACCACCATATAGGTGCAATGGAGTCATGTATAGATCCAAAAGTGCAGGAAGGAGACTTGGCTCTGTATTTTAAACCAGCCAGTATGATGTCCAAATGGACACAGAAATCAGAAAATATTACTATTGATTGGTATCAGAAGCTTCTAAGAAGTTTTCTCTAGGCTAGGTATGACCTAAAGGTCACCTCAATACCTTATGAGCCTATATCCGCACTGGATGTGATATAAAATCAACCGAAGTCCCTGAATGGTCTAAGCATATGTATATATCCAATGAAGACAGCATCTTAAAGTATGAAAATCCAGCAAGGCAGTGTTAGCAGGTGGTCCACATGGAAAATATGCCATTAAGCCCTGACATACTTCACCTACAGGCTTTCTCAGAGGGCACATTGTATGATTTGAATTATTTAAACGACACTTAGGGCTTGTTTACACCAGCAACCACGCTCAACCGCATGGCGGCTTGTGTGCATGTGCCCAGCACAGTGCTAAAGCGCTTGATCGAGACGCATTGCATTGATTCTTTTTAGTCGTTAGAATACAAGTGACATTTCATTACTTTTTATGGGTACATCATGGTGCTATGTGGTTGTAATACGTCTCAATGAGGTGCACTTCAAAAAGTACTGCGTGCAGTCCCTTTAAGTGCACACCACTGCAACACAGTAACCTGAACTTTGCCCACCCGTGATGAGGCACATTGCCTTGTCTTGCGTTCAGGCTGTGCTAAGTGTTTATCCCAGCACAGCCCGAACACATCATGTGTGCATGGGCCCTAATAGGCATTTTTTTACCTAGGTGTCTTCAGGGAAAATTGTTTCTGTTTGTCTTACCCCTAGAAAACATTTTTCTTTTTATGTAATGAGATGACCATCCTGTTCATCTATCCAGTAATACAGAATCAAGATTTAAACTGTGTGCTGTAACAGGTGTAGAGATGTATATATGAATACAGATGTTTCTATTTTGCATTGTGTTAGAATAAAAACCATCATCTCATTAGTTGTTGAGATATTGGAAGGTACCTGACATTCCACAATAAAATACAGATTTTGCTTACAATCCTTTTTCTCTTTCACTCCATATATGCTTTTGCTACCTCTACAGTATCAAGATAGTTAAGACATTAGATGACAAACATGTGGACATATTAATATAAGGGAACTAAGTAGACAGACACTTGCTCTATCAGCCTTATTTAGGGGCAGACAGTATCGTTCAGGGGAAAAAAAGAAAATCTCTAAAAGCCTATAAATTCATGAATTGTCAACCAAGGGTGTCTGCTGATTCCAATGCATGCCATGATCGGCACCTAATTTGGCTGATTTAATCAAATATCTACAGTAAACCAGGCGGTAGGGGAATGTGGAGGCAGTCTTTTCTATCCACCTCTTTAAAATACTAATTTCCTTGCTGTTATACTGACCTACGTCTTTCAACACCCTTAGTTACTGTCCCATAACAAGCAAACAGACCAGAAAAGTCAGAGAGCATGCAGAAGTTCTCTCTTGTATACATGTTCTAGGTCAATGACTCAAGTTACTGAAGCAAGGGGTTAGGTTAGCGTGACCCAAAGGGGACTGTTTCCTCTGCCAAAACTCAGATGGTCGCAAAGCTGATCACTGCGAATATCGTATACATGCACCCCTAACTGTTTAGGAATAGTGAGCTCAAATTGTCTGCATTCTCTCTTTTACAGTATACATTCCATGATGTGAAACACTGGCTGATTTATCAATTCATTTTCTCTCTAGTTTTATTTTTTATAGAAAAGACAATACAGAAAACAACAAAACTTCTAACATGCAAACAATTACTCCCCCCCCGAAACATCAATCATTTAATATATTAGCTGAATTTCATCTGGCTCTTCATGTACCCTTGATCAGCTGATAGAAGAAACCACTGAGCTGCCAGCTGTATTCAGGTTTTCAGGCCAGAATCCGCTGTCAGACTACAAAAGAGGGAGATTCCTCAATCAACGCTCATAAGCATTGATGAATCTGTGTTTTGAATGGAAAAAATAGAACAGTGTATAGCCAGCTTAAGAATCCTTTTTGAACCAGTGATAGTATCATGGGAGCGAGCTTGGAGCAGTGGCTACTTTACAACACACACAGGGACCAATTTCAGGGAGGTTTTTTTTTTAATCACAGCTGAGTGATAAACAAACAAGCTACATTTTTGAAAATAGTTAAGGTTCTTGAATGCATTTTTAAGATTTAACTCTCGAGTTTAGTCTCACTTTAATTAAATAATTTTTATATGTTTTACCTAAATCCTGTTTTTAGATGCCCACTTAGGTATGGATTTATTTCTCATAAATAATATTTCTCTATATTTTTTCTTTTACCATTATTTAATCTCCCAAAAAAACTCCTCTCAATAGATGCCACATAGAATTTTAGATTATCCCCTACCTGAATCTAGCAGTAGTTTAGGCAGCAATTTCACATAGAAAATAATGGAAACATTGATACTTTGTCAAAGTCATGGTATAGCTGTCCAGCAGTCATATATTACTAGACTTGTTATATAATATTAAAGATGTTTCATTGCTTATTCACGCATCCTTTTTACTTCTAATGATTGTCAGGAACATAAACCAGCATTTACAGCCACACAAGTAACTCAGTCACTTTAATCCAATCACAATGTGATGTGCTAAGGCATGTGCTGATTATTCAAGAACAAAATGTGAGGTATAGCGTTTTTTGAGACCACCCTGTTCTAATATTATAATCCAATCCCATGTGGCTACCCAGACTGCTTTAAAAAAAAAAAAATATATCCAATGTTATGCAAACTCACAGGGTCATGAAACAAAAGGGAGAAGGAGAAAACAGAGTAATAAAGTCAACCCACATGTGGTCTGAGGCCTGTGTTTTTCTGTCAAGCAATACACTGAGACTAAAGCTTGTACATTCAAAAGATCCAACACCCAAATAAAGGTACTTTTTAGTCCACAATAATAAGGAATGAGTAGACTAGAACATTATGGAGACCAAATCACCTTTCATCAAAGAGATTGTCTGTAGCAGGTCAAGATTTTGTAGTCCTTGTGCACCTTAAGGGAAAAAAAAAATACATTATTTCAAAGACCGCGAGATACACACTTTAGGCAGAGAAAACTGGTTCAAAAAAAGACATGAAAGGGCTCATCTACATTAAACTCAATCAAACCTTAAATGGAGTGTGGGGACCATAGACACCATCTGTCACTCACGTATATTTTCATTTTGTCTACTCTAGTGATTCGACAACACCTCACAACAATCAATATCTGTTTTGACACATAGTGTGGTGACTGGATTAGGGTGACTAAGTTACTCGTGTAACTTTAAATGCTGGGATATGTTTCTATAACTCGTTAGAACTAAAGAAGCTGCTTGGTTAAACAGTTCAATTTCTTTAACATGTCTTAACAAGTTAATTTAAATGTGAATAACTGCTATTACCCGTACTTTAATGTGCATGTGGTAAATTCAGTTGACCCTTGCCACAAAAAAAAAGGTTTACTCTACTAATTTGTTGTTCAATCATCTACAAACTGGATTCTGCTTAAAAGATTTAAAGGGATATTAAAGTCAAAAGTCAAAATGAGCTATTTCAAATGCTGATTAAATTTCTTACAATGGATGCTTCTCCTTGATGTTTAACAGTTTTAGTTTCCTGCAGAATCAGCTGGTCCCCTGAGCACTGCTCCTGCCTTCCTGTTTTAGAGTGACTCAAGCACAGTGCCATGTATTCACCCTTGTGTGTGCTACTAAGCCGTGTGTGTCTCCACAAACACACAGCAAATCAAGCTACTCTCCTCCCCCCTGGCGCCCTCTTCTCTCTCATCCCTTCTACAAACTAGTAGATCAACAGTTGCTGAAGTCTGTACTGAAGTCTGTACTGTCTGTACTGTTGTGATCTTGTACTGGACACAACGTTCAGGGAAGCTGAGCTGAGAGACTTGGAAGAAGTTGTTTAGAAACATGATGATTTTAAGTATTTGGGCAAAAATGTAAAGCAATTATTGAAAAAAGTTTGAGTTTAATACTACTTTAATTGAAACTCTCCTCCCTAAAGTCCCAAGTGGTCTACTAATTTCACTTTCTATAGGTCACTTTTCTTGTATTTACAACACTGTTGATCTCTACTATATCACATTCTCTTCTGTTTACTAATTCATGACCTGGCAATTTTTAGGATATTATGTTCCCTTTCCAGATGAATGTTTAGCATCTCTGACTCCTATACTACCTTATCTTTTTTGCTGTGGTCTGTCTGTATACCATATGATTTTTTTACATTGTATCCATACCCTATTCAATATGTATATGTGGTCCTGGTTGGCTTTTTACCTTATTTGGATTCTAAAATCGCTGCCATGCAAAACCCTGCATACCAACACTGAAACTAGTTGTAACTGTATAATTTGGTGAAGGAAGTGAAATAGTGTTTGACTGCTTTGCTGCCTTACGGCCTGGACAGCGTGGAATCTTTCAGAAACCAATGAATTCTAAGTTCCATCAGAAAGTACCCTGACTAGGCTTCAGGGTGTCTGAAATCATTTAATATCATCCACTGGTTTCCAGTGTATTTCAATTTAGTAATTTAATTTTTCTTTGCCTAGTCTTAATATTTTAACCTTTGTAGTTAAACTCCCTCATACTCTATTAGCTGGGGTGCCTTAAGTGTATGGTTAGAATACAAATTTTGACAACAAGCCTGTAATAAATGCCAAATCACTGGATTTGTTCACAATTTAAAAATGAATAAAAGTCTGCCAATATATTTTTTTATCAAATTCATGCACTGAATTTAAAATTCATCCTTGCCCATTTGCTGCATTAAAAAAAAAATCTGGTTGTAGAAAGTATTGTTTATTATTGTTGTCTCTTCTTCTAGGCTTATGGGATGTCAGCCCTACCTTTAAACTTAATTAAAGGTACAAGAAATGTACACTATGAACGTCTGGAAAACACTGAAGATCTTGAAGAGGTGGAAGAGCAAATTGAAAGAATTAAATCAAAGGCAAGGGGAAATGTGTTTTTATTTTCTTTAAACAATAGTTGTGAATAATTTGTTTTTCGCTTTATCAATGTTGTCCAATTGCTGGAGCCATATGTAAAATTCATGTTCAATGAATCGCTCTTGTAAAGATCTTTTTATGAATTATTAACTCCTTTTCTTGCATCTGTATCTCTGCTTCTTGTCATGTATCTTGCGATGGAAGTAGTATTTATTTTTGGATCAGAGCACTCGCTGATTTGCTATAACCGCAATGTCAAATCAAGAGACAAACATATAGTGACAGCCTTGACAGAGTTGTTTCCCAGTTCTTCTTTCTTTTCTTTTGGCATATTGATGTCTGAATATTAGTCTGGTATTTATACAGGTTCAGGCTTATTTAACAGGTTTAAATTAGTAAGTTGTGATTCTAAGGACACTTAAATACGTGTCCATGTAAAACAAAACAATTTTTTTAAAAATTAAAACAGTGAAATTGCAAGTTACAAAATTTTCGTGCATGCATGTTTGCCAAATGGTGGGTCTATTTTTAAGTGTTTTCACCCAAGATTCACACATTGTCTAATACGATTTAATTGGAAAAGTGTGGGGGCGTGTCCGGCCGGCGATCGAGATGGCCGCTTAATAACGGAGCTCTGCCACTCCAGCCCGATCAGCGACAATTACAGCAACAGTGAAGGACCCTGTGTGACACTTACCTGTCACAACACTGCATCATCCGCCTGCCGACATGCCTAAGAGGGGAAAAAATTAGTCATTCCCCAAAGAAACTCACTGCTTTCTTCCCTGCAGTACCTCAGGAGGGAACACAAGATGGCGCCAAAACTCCATCTACCTCACAAAACGACCCTCCTCACGTAAACTGCTTCCCACAAACAGGCAGTTCAGCACAAAAACTGCCTCTGGATGAGCAATCTGCCTCACATCAAGATCTGGGTGAGTCCACTCCACCTGACTCCCCTTCCACCCGCAGCCCTGCCAAAACTAAACGCCTCAGGGGCTCTAGTGATCAGCCTCACACAATGTTA